CAATGAACGAGCTCCTTGTGTTTGCTGAACGATTTAAAGCTGCGTTATGTAACATTAGGACGAATATTTCTAAAATAAAACAGAACATTTTAATTTTTCGTGCAAAAAAATTTCGGGATAGATTCAGAATGATTTTAACAACGACAAGATTACGGGGAATGGTTGAATTCCTTTAGTATTCCAGTTTATGAAGGAACCTAGCTCAAGTAAAATATAATTACAAAATTATGCCAACATCAACAATTAAGTCATCCGTTAAAGGCATCCAGAGCAATTTTATGGTAGCAAAACAAGAAATGTTCTGGATGAGATTTGGATGATTAATATTTGTCTGATAATGACATTTTGTCTTTGTCTGATATTGTTTTTTTGTAGCACATTTGTGTCGTCATACTTGAAGGGCTACAAGAGGATTTCTCTTAATTTTTGTGCCATCAATAAAAGCTAGAACCAGCTTACCAACCATGTTCCGCTAGTGCCATTGTTTTTTTGGTTGTTTGTTTATTTGTTGTTGTTTTTTAGTCTCACAGATATCAGTATGTTAATTCGGCAGTGTTGATTTAACGTATTGGAACAAATAGCCTCAAAATCCAGTTCTACTGCCTCAAATTGCTTTGGATGCCTCTAACAAATCCACATTAGCTACATTATAATGATTAGCAACATGTGCAGGAGAATATATATCAGCCACTGATACTTGTACATGTCCTTGAAGGTAGGACGTGTTGAAGTCGGCTCACAGTAGAACTCAACTCATCGTTCGTTTTGCATTTGATTCTGCGCTTATGATTTTCTTTGTCCACCAGAAGCCAATAACACGATCCATCCCCACAAATCCCCACAGACACGTGAAAGCTCGCCCGCTGGATGGTAGCAGGGGGAGGGTCGGAGCTGGGAGAAGTGTGTGTGTTCGCTTGACGGGGCACACCGTGCGCGTCACCACAGGAATGTTAACTAAGCTCCGCTAACCTTCAGGCTACAGCCGAGGGGATTGTAGGAACCCCGAAACCGTCCTATTCAAACTCCTTCCTCAATATTTGACTAGAAAGAAGAGCTATACTGACGAAGTCACTAAAACTGCATTATACAGAGATGACGTTACACCAGGAAAGCATGTACATGCCAACAATCTACGCACATCTCTGCCAGGTTTCTTATATAAATACCTTTCTTCAGAACTCCCGACCCCCAAACCCGTCTCTTCTTCAATTCACGCACTTAGAAATCCTCTGACAGGCCGGAGAAAGAACTTACCTCTATATACTCATCAGAATATACAAATGTCCAGAATAGATAATTACGTACTGGGCAAAGTTAAAGTATGAGGCAACTTCAACATAGGGTACAATAGTCGGTAATACACGGTTGAAATAAGGAACTACCGTATCATAACACAGATAAATTTCTGCAAAACCCTGGCCGAGTTGATAGGCTAACTTGAAGGTTATATCGTCAATGGATGCTGAAGTTCTTGATCGACGTAAAGATTCGCCTCACCGACAAATTCGTCTTACCTTCTAACGTTTCAGTAGTCATGCTGCTAACGTTTCAGTAGTCATTCTGCTAACGTTTCAGTAGTCATTCTGCTAACGTTTCAGTAGTCATCCTGCTAACGTTTCAGTAGTCATTCTGCTAACGTTTCAGTAGTCATTCTGCTAACGTTTCAGTAGTCATTCTGCTAACGTTTCAGTAGTCATTCTGCTAACGTTTCAGTAGTCATTCTGCTAACGTTTCAGTAGTCATTCTGCTAACGTTTCAGTAGTCATTCTGCTAACGTTTCAGTAATCATTCTGCTAACGTTTCAGTAGTCATTCTGCTAACGTTTCAGTAGTCATTCTGCTAACGTTTCAGTAGTCATTCTGCTAACGTTTCAGCAGTCATTCTGCTAACGTTTCAGTAGTCATTCTGCTAACGTTTCAGCAGTCATTCTGCTAACGTTTCAGTAGTCATTCTGCTAACGTTTCAGTAGTCATTCTGCTAACGTTTCAGTAATCATTCTGCTAACGTTTCAGTAGTCATTATGCTGCCTTCTCCAGGTTGTATCATAATGACTGGCTGTGTTGTTCAGAACTCGGCTCTAGTGCCCATTGATTTACCAACCGTGAACCCAATGAAGCTATTGGAGCGTATACTTACCATCGACTGTCTCCCGTTCCTCAGAATTTCCTTCGCCAAACAACTTGTGATTACCTTACCGCCAAGAAGGTTATGTTTTCAGTTGTGTCATGGCGGAGTGGCTGTGGTTCAGGGTCTGTGTGTTACCAGCATAACTCGAGAAGCTGTGGATGGATTTTCATTATACTTGGTAGGTTTATTGCGGCTGTGGAAATGAAGGTCAAGTTCAAAAATGGTTCACCTGGCGTTTTTCTAAGGTACTGCAGCGGGCTATGTATACTTTCGTGTTGGTTGGTTTATAAACGTGATGGTTTGAGTATTTTGTGAACGAGATAACTAAACATTAGTAGAAATTCCATTTTTATTTGTTTGAAGGAACAGGCATACTTAGGGTAGTTTAATAACTCTCTATATAGCCACCTAGCAGCTTCGTGATGTGCTGCAGGTGTAACAGCGAAGCAGCTGCAGGCCTCTCACAGGTTAAAGAGGAGGTAAGTCCTATGAAAGAATCCGCACTTCTTTAATAATAGAGCCGCTTTTCTCAACTGCAAGACGCAGTGACAGCGCCATGATCCCTTACATTTATAGTTCATAAAAGTAAGGGAACATTCACATTTATTCCGAAAGAGCACGAATCAAGAAGAAGCAGACAGAATGAAGAATTAATAAAATCGCGCAACATTCGGGAAACCCTAGTTAGTTCACACGTACTGAGAGGTGGGGTGAGCCGGAATGCCACCCGAATAAAATTTTCCTGTATAGTCCTGGCTATTCCATGTGCATTCTTCAAAAGTCGGGGTGTATTCCAAATATATTCCAGGCCCATTTCGCTTCTCTCTTCAATGCGATCAGAATGTTTCGATGCTGTTGGAATGCTGTAGGAATATTCGGAATACAGTCATACCGCAGTTAGAATACACTTTGAATGACCTTCAATACTAGTATTTCCACTTGGAATTCACCTGGAAAGTTTTCAGCATGCTCAAAACATTCGATTCTGCCAAAAGACTGAGCAAAAATATTTGGGATGTAGTGAGAATTTTAGAATGTAATTTTCATCCTGTTGGCATTCTGGTTCATTTTCTCTCTCATGTAGTAGTAATGAACAAGGGAGATCTAAATAAGTGTCCCACTACATGATATTTTGTACTTGAATGGAAAAAAAGATCTTGTCAACAGCGTCAAGAATACATTCCGATCTGATCTTTAAGTATTGCATGCTATAACCAGATATAAATGTAGAGGGGCTGTTTTGCCCTTAGTCCAAATTAGTTATAAGTTATTCATACCATTTTGTAGTACCAAAAGAATTGTCTTCGTAAAAAAGCGTGGTAACTGCATTGACATGTACTAATTGTACATGTGACGCATCTTTACCAGAATTATCAATTCTCTTTATGGTACAAAAATGGGCTCTAACACCCCTTCTATCCCATTATACGATCAACAGGATTTGTACTCTAACACGTTTTCTTTTCACGTAAAAATTAAGCACTAAATAAATGTACTAAATAATAAAGTCTTCCAAATCACAGTTCCGCACCCCCGTTCTGAAGTTAGCTCGGTCCTACCTGCTCGCACACTCACACCCCAGTCATGGCGACGTCAATGCAGACAACCAATCCACGGCAGTTGTTGGCCTGAGAGAAACAAACACTGCTGGAGGCTTATCTGGTTACGACAGGCCGAGTTGACAAACACCGAGATAGGCGGTTACAAAGTGCCGGCACGGGGCTGTCTGATAGGCAAACAAACGCCGGGCTATGTCGGAGGAGGGGCTTACGGTGATACCATCGCTGCCGTGGAGAGGACATGCACGTTCTGGTGCTGTATATATAAATAACCACATCGCCGTGTCGTTTGTAATACATGAATCATTGCACGCAGGATTAAAGGAACAACAGTAATGCCTATACTATGGACTCACGTGTACCATCAATGGACAATGGTGCCAGATTAGACGTACATGTACCATCATCGGACAGTGGTACCGGGTTAAAGACGCATTATGTACCATCATCGGACAGTAGTACCGGGTTAAAGACGCATTATGTACCATCGTCATGCAGTGGTTCCGGGTTAAAGACGCATTATGTACCATCGTCAGGCAGTGGTACCAGGTTAAAGACGCATTGTCATGGTACCATCGTCAGGCAGTGATACCGGGTTAAAGACGCATTGTCATGGTACCTTTGTCAGGCAGTGGTACCAGGTTAAAGACGCACAGGTACCATCGTCGGGCCTTCAGGTAGCAGACTTCGAACACACGTGTACCGTCATCGAACAGTGGAAGACAGCGGTACCAGACTTTGGACACACATATACCATCGGACAGTGGTGCCAGATTAAAGACACAATAGGACAGTGGTACCAGACTATTGACAGATACAGGTACCATCATCGAACAATGGTACGATGGTACTGACATACATGTACATACATTGGCCCATATATACCATCAGTAGACCCTGGTACTAGACTAGTGATACACAAGTATCAGAGGACAACAGTAAAGGACCACTGACATGCATGTGAGGGTCATGTGATAGTGGTACCTGTCTATTGACACAAATGTACCATCAGTCGACAGTTATACAAATGTACCTTACTACTATAAAACCCACTTGTACCATCTGTGGATGATGGTACCATGCTATCAACACACAAGTACCATTCGTGGACAGTGATTCACACATGTTCTGTACCCTTATCGGACAGTGGTACAGGTGTACTAACACATGCCACATCAATGAGCCGTGGTACCAGACTACTAACATGTACCATCCGTGATGCAAGACCATATGCATCAATAAAATATTGATGTTGACAAAAGACTTGATTTGTAAGAACATCGATAAAATTTAGTCGTTGTTATTTCCGCCTTAAAAACAACCCTTTCCCCCGAACAGCTCTCTATTCCGGCCCTCTGTGTGAGTGATGGTTTGTTTCTGTAACTGATATGCCGGTATTTACCCAATCAAACTGCTAGTTTGACCACGTTGGCCCAACGCGTCCGATAACGTTTTGTGATAACGGCACATTTTACAGCCCCAGAGCTGAACGTACCGCGGTATATATACTACTACAGTCTGGTAAAGTCAACTCTCTGTCTGGTTCTGGTTCTGTCCCGGTCCCTGAGATATACAGGAAAATATCGGCACAAAGAACAGGAGAGAACTAGTGGTGCAAACGCTGCCAGGTTGGACGTAATCAGATGATCTGCTTCTCGGATGTTTATTGGACAACAAGGGTACACACTTCTTGACCCTTAACCCGTGAATAGCCTGGAATCGGCGAGGCTGAAGGAGGGATAAACTCACAGACTCCAGCCTCACTTGCCTGGTTCCGTGCCCCGCAGGCACACGGTCTCTAACGCTCCGTAGAACCGAGAACGTGTCGACTCATAAATTCTGCTGGCGTGGTGATTGACAGTGGTCCGCCTACTTTCCAACCCTACCGGGCCACGTGATTGGGTCCGCCGGGGGGGGTTGTTGTAGTTCTGGGCACTCGGCGTGCAGGAGTAAGTTCAGGCCTGTCGTACCGTACGAGCTACCGTCCTGTCCCGGGGAGTGCCGTGCGTCTGTCTGTCAGGTAAGCCGACTGTTAGATCTGAGAGTACGATCAGGGTCGGGATCCTGCCCTGCTGTACGGATCAAGTGGGTTCTTGTAGCGGTGATTATGTAGTCGGAGACACGGGGTGAAATGTCAAGAGCGCGCCTTAACTTAAGTCGTAGGGAGGGGGACGGACCTAAGCAATGATGTTATATTAATAACAAAATTTCCCGATCATATTATACACAAGCAGCTTAGTTGTTAGCACTGTATATCTTCAAGTATATTTGTATACATCATAATTATATCAGCAGTATTCACAGTGATTTATAATGCATAGGGTAAACTTTTGAAATACGACAAGAAATTTTCCTTCTCGACTGCTCTGTGTATGGGGCAGTAGACCAGCTATTAAAGACCGAGGATTTGTAGACGTATTACGAGAGTTGTGCAGAGGAAATGTGTGCCGACTGCAGCGGTATCAGGCCGGGCTAAGCCAGCGCAGCATGTCAGCCTGGGGATCCGGTCCGATTTACGGGGTCCCCACCGTGCAAATTCCCAGCAACAAGCGTGTCCTTATAAACCGTTCTGCTTCCCTGTGTGTGCCAGGCAACAGGTCGCGATGGAAGAACTCAAACTCACGCCTACTGTCAACGGTGGAGCAGAGCTGGACAATAACGGCAACATGGGCGACTTTCTGGGTAAGGAAACCAATTCCTTCACGGTTACAGATAAATTCTTCATTCGCACATTTTCCCGTTACAACCTGACCTTAATTTTTGATACAATCTGTGAGTAGACAAGCGATACCACACTACGTGGCCTGACGTCCGGTTCACGCCTGTCCGTGTGTGTCTGTGCTCGGTCTTCAAACAAGGGTTTACGTTTCTCCACGCTTAGCGAAAGGCAACATTTATCTAACAAAAGGTAACTGAATCTACGACGCTAAATGTGAAAATAAGACACACTAATCCAGCCGCTCAGGGCCTTTTTAGACACGACTTCCCGAGGACACGTAACAGAGGGACAGTGGAGACCGTTTGGTTCTGTTAGCCGGACTGTGGGTCTCCCGACCAGGTGTTCATTGATGTGTTGTTTTCCTGTATATATATCCGGTAGGGGCCATCACTGTGTCAAATCAGGCATCATCGAACCATATTTCTGTATCCTTTGAAATTGTCCTGCAGACATTCCTATCCTTACAAAACCTTTTAATGCATGTGAAGACTGTTGTCCATTGAGCTATGAAGTAGATGTTACTGGTTCCAAACTGGGCGGTACTGGACCCAGGCACGGTTCTCCCAGCTTCAACATACGGGTTTGTAGGCCAGTGTTCCCGGTACCTCACTGCCTGCTAGCCCCGCGTTACATCGTCCTAAAACCAAAGCATATGTAAACTTTATCATGTGCAGGCTACGTCTACATTACCTGATACATATCTCATATATACTGTGCACGGCAACTTTCTGTGGACAATATTTCTAAAGGTGATATTGTATGATAAACAGAAGAACTGCAAAAGAGAAAACTTTCTGCAACTCTGTAAAACACTTCAGAAGTATATTTCTAGTTGTTAAAACTGGTTGGTAGTTTGTATGAGACAGCTGGTACGCCAGACTAGGCCGTGTGTGGTGTGAAGGTCGCCAGGGGACAGCAGTGGTGGCCACGTCCCGGACAAGGCCTGCCGCCCTCCCGTCTTCTGGAGTCAGGAGAATAATGGAAAACTAAACCTCGGCTACGGGGAGGCTGTTGCTAACAGCGCCGTAGCGCTAAGCTGTTATTTGAACCAGCGATCTGTAACTTGACGAATGATGTCTGCCCGAGGCCAGAGAATGTCCTGACAAAGCTACTGTCCTGCCATGTTGTTCCCAGGTCCCGGGTCTGGCAACCCCTCAGGCACTGCCGCCAAACAGGAGATGTGCGCCGGGTGTCAGAAGCCAATCGCCGACCGTTTTCTTCTAAAAGTCGGGGACAACTGCTGGCACGAGAAGTGTCTGCAGTGTGCTGTGTGCGGGCAGCGGCTAGCCAGGTCCTGTTATGTCAAGGAAAGAAAACTATACTGCAAGTCAGATTACGAAAAGTGAGTACAACATTCATATGTTTTTAACTGAATGTGGTATAGAAATGATTCAATAATTTCAGTGTTAATGTTAACACTAATTAGATATTCATTGAATGTATATGACACATAAGATGGCTAGTCAGAAGTACGGACTAGTCCTCTCTATCCCCCATCTAAGTCCCCCTGGCCCTGGCGGGAGGCTACCTGTCCCACTAGCGGCATACCGGTGCCGTGTGGATTTGGTGTAGCGGGTTCTGTACCTCCCCAACCCCACCTCAAGCTTGGATACAAAGCCCTGAAACGGTCCAGTGCCTTTAACCGTATACAATAAAGTCCCGATGAAGTCCCAATGGCCGGGGAGTACATTATACAACAGTTTTCACACATGAATATTGGCTCGCCTGGGAATAGAAATTCAAACAGTAGGCGTCACTTTCCATGGGGCATGTAATGAGAATATCATAACATAATATCCCCTAGAGTGAACACAACCTATTCCCAAACGGGTACAGCTTTAGGGCTTAAACAGATCAAGTATGTAAAAACCTCGTCCAAATGTTCTGTGAAGTTTTCTCTTGAATACGTGTCTGTAGAATGGCATAAAGCGTTGGTTTTGTGCTGAGGTGGTTGTGGAGTTGACGCCGTTTTGTTGTCCGGCTTTACACATAGTGTGGTTGAACAGAAGTGCGGCGGACGTTGGTCCCGACCTGCCAATGTTTGTTTTCTTTCTATCTACGTGAGCACACATGGCAATAGCTTGTACAGCCGACATTTTCTAGTTTCTGTGGAAGACTTGTGTTGTCGGGAGAGTCAGACGGCAGTATGAAGGCGGGGCTGTTGTACCTCTCTGCAATCTCGAGTTCGATCTTGTTACGACACCCGAAAGTACACACAGGGAGTAACGGGAAGGAGACTGCCCGGTAACGGAGCGGGCTGTCCTCGGTCCGCACCTGCTCTTGTGGGCGGGCCGAGAAACGAGTTATTTTCTTAGCCCACCTTCCTACGCAAAGCTAAATGTTTTCCCAAGATTTTCATCAAGGGCAATAACCACGCGCGCTATCCCGACTGTTGATAAAGCCTGGGGTCGCTATTGTCTCGGGAAAGATTTACAACATACAAGACATACATGTAGGCTGTCCCGAGCACGAACGTTTACAAACATACCGACCAAGCAGAGGTTTTGGCATTATATTGGCTTCGACGTGTTTCTAGACATTTTTATCAAACTTTCTTCTCTGTACTGGTATCATTTTTCGCCAGCTAAACAGACGGCAATTGCCTGGGAAATGGCACTGCCGGGCCAATTTGATACTGTCTTTGCAACCACCAAAAGATCTGCTTAGAGATTATCATACACAAGGTCTTCGTGCAACCAAGTACAGTGGAGTTGGCATGGTGGCAGCTAGCGACTATTCAGTCTAAACTTAGAATTTTCTGGCTATAGAATCAAGACAGGCGACTTTTTCTAACCGCACCCAAATCACAAGTAACATAATTTGGACCACTGCAAGGTGTATATTATCAAGGGACACATCATCCTTCCTTCTATACAGACTTAATATAATTAAATATTACTAACTAGGAATATTTAGCTTTTGAATCTTGAGTAGTACATGTACATTTCTATGAACTAGTTTTCATACAATCGACTATCAAATTGAGGAAAGTATGATCAAGTTGCAGAAAAGGGGCGTGTTTCAACTTGTCTTCCTTTTCGAAGGGTTTGTATTTCGGTAATGGTCCGTAGGTACAAATATGCGATCCCTTGATTTTTAGTACCTTCTTTACGTGCTTTACGGTACCTTAGGCTATAGCTATGTTGTTCGCGGTGCCGATATTCTGTGGTACGAGGCGCCGCCTTTACCGACAGTTGTGCCGCCCGGTTGATCAGTCCGTACGGTCTGCTCGAAAACCCCCACACGGAATCCCCAGTGGGCAGGGATGCTGATTTGTCTGGTGTCAGATTAAGCGTAATTTGCGGTAGTAAGAGGAGAGATTTGCCGTCATTATCCCATGTTACGGGCAGTCCACCCATACCCGGCTATACTAAACTTCTCTTCAGCAACCTTTCCGTGGACACAAAAACTATCAAAATATTGGATCAGAAGAAGAGAGACTCATTTCCAGCCATTCTCTCTCATGAACACGGATACAATACTTGATTTACACAAGAATAGAGTTGGGGGATTTTTCCGTCCCAGCACGGGTTGCCTGGCGCAGCGCAGCGGAGTGAGTTGTCCCCCCGCCCGGGATGGGCCCTACCTGTGGGGCGGCACCCTACCGCAGCCTACCGTCCCACAGAGCACACCGTACCAACACATGTACATGACCGATGTATGTACAGTTTGTTGTACCAACGGTTCCCAAGGGAAAAGGCAGGAAAAAACGCAGGCAAAAGACCCTGTTCTCCCCTTTATGTCCTTATTCTATTTTATGCGTCAAGTTGGCAGGTGTGGGTTGATGGAAGCACTTGGACAGAAACCTGTCGTGGGCAGCGTGACACATCCTTTTTCTGTCTCCTTTCCTCCAAACAATTGGAAAAGTTATTAAAAAAGACAATACTTAAGAATCCTTGTTTCTCCTGTCTAGTTTTCTTTATTATTTGAAATTTATACCTGAATTAAAATCTTTCCTATGCCTATGTCTCAGTAATGTCGAAAAGTTAAAAAAAATAGTTAAGATAACTCTTTTTTTCTCTCGTCTAGTTTTCCTTCTTTTTTATTATTATTGTTTTTTTTTAAACCGGCAGAACACCCCTCGGCACTTATTGAGCGATATCAGTTCGAAATTCTGTTCCTTTATCATCAGAATCTAAGAGACATCGTCATAGATGGCGAAGTTGTCTATGTAAGTGTACCATTCTGCCATATATTAATAAATCTGTAACTATACCTAAAAATGACAATCCAGGAAATGGGAAAATCGACGTATAATAAAACCAGGCGATATCGCAAACCAGTAGTTAGGTGTTGGTATGATACATGTATAGTATACAGTCAGAAAAATGTCCGACAAAGCAATAATTTCCTTCAAGTGTGCGTACAGATTCCCACAACTGTGTCTGAGAAATACAGCATTTCAAACGGTCTTCTGTGGTCATTATTAACTACCAACCAGTCTCTCCTCTTTCCACCCATCCTTTAAAGTCAGGTACCTTTCATACCACTTTAACTCACTCATATTATTACTAGTATACACTACTGTCTGTGAGTGTACATTTCTGTGGTTAACTGACAAATACCTGTGTACGCGTACATGTCCGCGCACACACACAAACGCGCGCGTGAGGTTAGGAAAAGTTGGAAACCTGGGGTTAGACTTTGGTTTTTATTTCGAAAGTCAACAGATGATCGCTATTCATATTTATCAACTTTATAAGTACGTTTTTTATGTTCTGTGTTTAAGTCTATATTGTTCTGTTGATGTCTTGATCTTCCCAACAATTCCTGACTTATTGGTGAACGCAAGACGTAAAATAAGACAGGTTTACAGACGGTAACAGGTCGGTTTTAAAATCTAAGAAGTAGGATTTTTGCAGTTAAGTTTCTCTTGATAGTTGTACGTAGCTTTGCGAAGTGTATATGTAGGATTGAGACTTTTCCTTCTAGTCCGGAGGCAGGGGTCAAAACTGCGTCTAGTTCCGGAAGCAGGCAGCCGAAGTTCTCCCGACAGGGAGTCTGAAAAACCTTTCCGAAAACATTTACACATGTCCCCACACCGCCGGGCGCACTGTCATGCCTAATAACACAGACTGTCACCGACTTAATATTGTAGGAATGTGTATAAATATGCCGTTGTTTCGGCTTCATGTTTCGGACCTGTATGGTACTGGTTATACGTTACATGAATTGCTTCGAAATTTCTGTATTGCAACTGCCCTAGTCGTGAAACGGCGTTTAGTAGGGAACTGATCTGCCGTATCGTCAGATTATAAGATAAATTTGCAAATAGTTTTCATTCTATTTCGATATGAAATGTATGCTGTAAATTGTAAAATAGCTTTACTTGGCATATGCCTACACAAGTAGTTGAAACAAAGGTTTGTGTTCTGTATTTAAAGATACTGTCGTGCCGTCCCGCTTCTTGCTGGCGCTCTAGTCAGTGTTAAACGGCTATATTCCCAGTTGAACTAGTACAATGCCGCCTAATGCTGTCTATGGGTCGTGAAATTGTCATTGTCCACGCCCAAGTGTTTCCAGCGTTTCGGGCGCTTTGTTAGTCTGTAACACGGTGAAAACGGGACGTCCCCTGCCTCAAAACGAGCATTGTTAAACCTGGCGTTCAGAACAAAAAAAATGACGATTGTTATTTTTTTTTTCAATGTACATCAGCGTCAAATTATAAGTAAAATGTTTTCAGCGTGACAAAGAAGCGAAAGTGTACTGGTTTTTGTGCAAGGATGATGATGATGAGTTGGTATAACAAACAGTGTATCTGTGGTCATTTTCAGATCATAAAGAGCTCTTCCTTTGCCGTATGCTTGTACCGATATCGCCAGTTAAGTTGAACGTGTAACGGTACGGGTACTACCCTCAACCATTAAATGTATTGCATTGATAAGTTGTGGATTTTTACTCTAAAACGAAACTGCCACTATAATCTTAACTCAGTGGCTAGGAAACCAGGACTGACACGTTGGTTGTTTAAGAAAAGATACCTTTTAGGTGAAATTGTCTGTCCACACTTTGTGGGCCGCATTTTCGTCACACTAAACATCAAAACACAGGCGTAGACCTGACGATTCATTTACAACGTTAACAGAAATTAGCGCTTACACTTAGTCAGGGAATATGCTTTTGATATGGCAAATGATTTTTTGTAGAAAGTTTTAGATCAAGCCATCTTTTGAAGTACCGGGTATATCATATGTGCTATCAGTATCGTAGTTCTCCCAAGTGACTTACTCTCACTTACCACCAGCCATTTCTAACGAAAATCATGAGCCAAGGAAAAACACTGCTGCCCAACTGCAGGAAACACGGGAAGGAAGAAAAAAAAAACGACAAAGGAAGAAGTTG